TCAAAAAGGTGCGTGGAAAAAAAAAAAGACTGTAGGCCGATACGGCGGCACGTGAGGGTGGCGGCGCAGACCACGCCCGGCACTTTGCCAGCAAGCGGGCAAAGGTAGCGGCCTCAGCACTCCAACACCCCTTATAATCACGCTGTTCTAAAGCTGGGTACATGCTGCAACGTTTCCAAACAGCTACAATGCTTCCATATGCTTCCGCTGCAGCCCGGCGACATTTTTTTTGCGGACCTTTATCCGGCTGCAAAAGCAGGCTGCTGTCCCAAGAGACAAGCTATTTAAATGGCTTGCATCTGCCTACAATCCTACAGCTACGCGAGCGTGCGCCCAGCGCGAGGGGCTCATGCGCACAACGGCAAACGGCCGGCGCTTGCCGGGGCTACGAGCTCCAGCGCGCGCTCGAGTGGAGGAGCGTCGCGCTGGTAGGGATGCAGCGAGGCGGGCCAAGGCCCCCTATCGCCGCGCGACCGCTTATAGCACGGCCACGCTCAGCATGCCCCGCCAACGACGAGTCCTACATGCGGCCCCTGGATGCAAGCAGATGGTACACAATCAGTGTGGCTACTGCCAAACCAACGTGCGACCCAGGCGGTCGGTCGGAGGCCGGTGGGCGCGGACCGCTTCGGCTCGCTGGCACGCCAAAAACAGGAGCGGGAGGGCTCGAGTGACGAGCACGCCGGAGGTATGCGGTGAGCGAGTCGTGCAGCCCACGGCAGCCGCCGGGACGGGAGGAGCAGCACCCTTTCACCGCTGGGGATGGTGAGGTCGTACCGCGTCGGCGATACGGTGAGTGCACAAGGGGCGAAAGGCCCGGCTTGCGACAGTCCAAGCGCCTGGGATGCGAGGGATTCATTTCTTTTCACGCAATTTTGATTTGCCACACCCGGCACGAGCGCGATGCCAGTACAACTACAGCCAGCAGTGCGCCCACTCCCACAGACGCCACCAGAGCGAATGACACGACATTTTTTTTGCGGACCTGTTCTCTCTGCCGTAGTCCTGCCGAAGTCTGCTCGTACTGTCCCATGTTAGGGCCGGTAGGTCAGCGCAGCGGAAGCTGGCTGACGGGGTCGGCAGGCGCGAGATGGCGCGAGTGCCAACACCTCGTCCAAGGTTGGCACCCGACTTGGCGCCGGCCCGGGCACAGGCACTGCCGTGGAGAGCACGCTCCACCAGCGTCGCGCCCAGGCTGCACGGGCGGGGCCGCGCACGGCCGGTGGGGCCCAGCAGGAGCGCAGCGCGACCAGGCGCCGCACAAGCGACCTGGTTGAGGCGTTCCAGCGTCCACCAATTTTACACCCGAGCACGCAGAGGGACTGAGCGCCCCCCCAGCGAGCTCGGGGTAGGTGGATCCCTTGCGACGCTCTGCCATTGCAACGCGGCCCCATCTCGAGAAGGGGCGTGGCATCGCAACAGATGGCCCCTTGCAGCGGCGTCGCCTCATACATCACAAGGTCGAGCCGACGGCGGTCATCTGAAGCGACGCCGGCTGCGGTGGTGTGTGCGAGCCATTGCTTCACGGGCGGCTCGGCGCCACGCCCGCTCGACGGTTTTTGCGCGTCGGGCGAGGAGGCCTGTGCGAGGGCACGCCAGGCGGTGGTCACCAAGTGCGTCCGAACGCTGTCCGCAGCCAGGTGTGTCGCGGTCACTACAACTGGCCCGTGCCAACAGCAGCGGGAGCCGTAGCCTGCGGCGGAGTGCTATCAGCATGACGTCCGGGGCAAGCGACGTGTGAGGGTCGCTCGGGATGGCCGTCAACCAAGCGCCCTAAGTGGTGAACAAGGTGATCCGCTGATGCCGGCCTTGTACTTTTCTCTAAGGACCTTTTTCCTTGGCATGGGTCTGACGGGTCCACAGCTCGTTTCGGCGCAGCCTCCTACCAGCTTATGACGTCCCTACGTATTTCGGGCGGAGCACGAAGTCTGCATTCACTTTATTGCCAAGCCTAACTCGCAAAAGGTGATGCAGCATTGCCTGGGTATCTACATCAGCGCGCAGCCGGAGGGCATACGGCCACACTGTATGACGCTGTAACCCGAATGCCCTAGGTTGGTCCAAACGATGGCAAGGCATCTTGTCCGTCGCAGTCCAGCAGGCCGTTGCGGGCACGGCCCTTGGTCGTGCGTGGCCGGCGTTCACAAGCCGGACCGGAAGCTGGGCCGAGATCCCCATGCGAGCTCGCAGTGAGCGCGCTGTGGCTGACCTGCAACAATTGCGGCGTCCACCGCGATTTGCCGCTTGCCAGACGGGGAGGTTGTTAGCCACCACCTCTTCTCCACGTTTTGTCTTCCTTCTCCGACCTCGTGCAGTTCTTTCGCTTGCCAGGCGGTGACTACCTACAGGCGGGCGCTGGCGCTGGCAGGCCGTTGTCCACAACCCGTCGCGAGCCTGCGCCACCAGATCGTCCGGTGGCGAGTCACCAACCAGCGAAGGCTCCAACAGCCTTGGCATCCGTCGCTCGCAGTCACGTCGAGATTGAGGGCGCTTGTCAATGGCAATCGATGCCGCACGTTGCCATCCTGGACTTGCATCTGGGAAGGGCCGTGTTGCACTCAGGCGGCAACTGGAATGCTAAGTTCTGTAGGTTGCACAATGCAGATAGTCATACATAACTGCGCACGGCGGGCTTGATGCTGCTAGCTACAAACCGCCCGTCTCCAATCAATCTGGTGCCGAAACACATATTCGAGCGAAGTTAATGTGTTACCAGCGTTTTTCCTCTGCCCGCCTGAAATTCGTGGCCCCTGCGCCCGCGCGACGCGCTCCATCGCATCAAAAGTAATATTCAGATACATGAAGTAACGATCATGTCCAGCATCGGCCGCCAATCCTGTTGCAGATGATGGGCGGCAGGCCACGACGCCTAAAAGGAGTTACTGAAAACCCAAGATGCTCGCAGGAGATGACGCTTGACAAAACGCGAAACCCACCCCCTCCGTAGCAAATGATGCATGCAAAGCAAACCTAACGCCCTAGAGGTCTGCAAAGACTGATTGGTTCCGAAACCATGTAGACCCCGGGCACGTACACACACAGGACAAAGGCGTCAAATCGACAATGCGCTTGCGAACGATGCTGCCCCAAAGCCCTGGTGCGACAACCCCCCAAAACAGCCTGCCCCCCTCCCCGAAATCCTGATGAAGAGGGTGCACCCGCACTGTGGGGAAGTCCCGCTGCCACCAATGGGGCACCGGCGAAGTCACCGTGCAGCCTGGCGATGCTCGAGCTTTAGGGGCTGCTGCTTTGCATTACGTAAGGTGTCGTCAACGTTTTTTGTTTTCATGCACCTTTTTCCTGCTGCCTCTGGCATCCGTGGCTTTCCCACTGGCTTCCTAGGGCTGACCGGCTGCTACGGCCGGAGCGGCAGACGACTTGTCCGGTGCTTTTGTTTGCCACGTGCGTCGCATTTCTGAACCCACCGGGCTCCACCAGCACTGTGAGCCAAGCAGCGCATGCTTTGAAAGCACACCAACAGAAGCTGTCCTGGCAGCTTGAGACTGACGTTATGTTGTTGAGCATCGTGCAGGTTAAAGCAAGAAGCACCTCATCCAATTGGTGGTGAAAAGGCTCCGCCTGACGATGCGCAGGGGTTGTAATTGGATAGCATGTGTAATTGCTCTGATTCGGAGAGTTGTGAATTTTGGCCAAATGCGGTTCCGGGCTGTTAGCTTTTCGTGACAATCATCTTCACTCACCTGGCCCTGTGCATCAGGTCAAGACGATTTGCCAGCGAGATGTCAAAGCCCACTTCCCAGATCAGTGTCTGTGTGCGCTGTGGATGAGATGTGCATTCTGCCACCGAAGCGCGTTACGAAGAAGCAGTGATGGAGGACGTGCTTGGGCCGTTGGTGAGCTGGACGTCGCGACCCCAACTCGAGACATTTGCGTGAAGGTATGCTCTTTGATAGGAAGTCGGTGAGATACTGAAGGCTATATTGGGATCGCCGCTTCCCTGGATTCGGAAAGCATTGGTCTTGTGATTTTTCCGCCCGGTGGTGGCAAGACTGTCGGGACACGCCACTGGCCAGGTTACGACGAAGGCTTCTTTGCTGGCGGCAGATTCAGCGGCAAAGGCCTTCATGTGGATCAGGTGGGAAGTGCGCAGGATCCGGACGGGCGTGGTTCGTGGTTAGCTTCAGCTTTTTCTTTGGCCAGGTCTTGTGGAGCAATGTGGGACGGAACTACAAGGCCGCAGAACTATCTGTGTTAAGGCCTCATCTGGCCTGGGACTTTTGAGTTAAAAACGATTGATGCTGCTTGCTCGGGCCACCAGGCCCCAATAGTTTAGCAGGTCGAGTTCATACTCACCAAAGGACGAACTCACCAGTTGTTCGGTGCCGTGGCTTCTGTCCCGACGGTATGGCTCAGCAGATGTTTGGTTTGGCGGTGGAACTCCCATCCCACAAGTCTATCGCCAACCCTGTGTGCAAGAACTGAGACCCAGAGCTTACCTCTGCAATGCGAGCTTGTTCATGGAATAACAACCCTAACGCCACCGCGTGGCAGGGCTACAAGCTCGCGGCTGCATGGCCCAAAGGTGAATGCAGCAAACAGGCCTTCACTGCACCAGTGTTGGATGATGCAAGACCGGTAGATGATGCTCAGCAAGGTCACACGTATCCGAGTCCTTCAGGCATTAGTAGCAGAAGCACGACCCAGATTAACACTATGGTAGATCCATGATCCATAAAGATCTTGGACACCTCTTGTAGCAGGTGGCCTTGGAATTCTATGATGTGTGCCCCGGCCATACAGTACGTACGTCGCAGACGCACGCATTGACTTCATTGAGCGTGCGCGACAAGAGGAAGATTCTTCATTTTCATGGTGGTGGTTGGTTGGGTTGGTGTTTGCGTGCTTGCCGCCTGAATCCTCCCCAACTTCCCCGAAAGGCATCCAAGGGTCGGATTCCCGAGTACTCGTCCCTGGTGCACTCAGGCTTTTCGTGCCCCCGCTTCAGCCACGAGAGCTTCAGGCCACAGCACCCAAACTACGCACTGCTTTTGCCAGTGGCAGACCTTTTATTGAGGTTGTGTACTTAAGCCAACATCGCGCATTCATCCATTCATGTTCCTGGATTGTGCCGTTTTGCGCTCCTGAATCACTTGCTCGCACCGGTGTGTGATGGGACGACTTGCGTCGAAACATCAGAAGATTTGTGAACTAGGGTTTCGTGCTTGGCATGTTGATTGGCGCTGTTGGTTGAGTCGTCGGTAAGTTGTTAGTGGTCTGATTCCTGCAAATATAAACTTGTGTTCTGCTTCACGTCGATGCAGTCCTGTGTGGTTGTTCGTGTTCCAGAGCTCCCGCGACCCTTCACGAGGTCTTGTTTTTTCCTTTCTGCGCCGCTGCTTTTGGGAGTTGGGCTGGGGCTGGGCCTGCTCGGGCCTGCTCCTTGTGGCGAGGCTCTTCAGAAGGCCGCCAAGGTGGCGCTGCTGCGGCCGGGCGACGTGCGGGGCTGAGCCAGGGCCCGGTTTGCGGATCGGCGCTCTTTTTGTGCTTCTTCCGCCTTAAGTACTAGTAAGTAGATGCTTTTGTTTCTTGGAATTTCCTTGGCGATCTTTTAGGTGTCTTGTATGAAGGTGTACCTCAAGCAGCTGCAACAGCTCTTCTAGCTTTGCTTCAGCTGAATCGTATTCACTCTGTAATACACTGTTCTCCCAGTCGGGGCAGAGTGCACAACAAATGCGGGCGGCAAAGCCGGCGACTTTTTTCCCAAAACTGCCATGATCTGTATCACAGTCAGGAACACGTTAGGACGGCTTCGACTCCTGCCTGAAGTCAGAGCCCAGGTCTACATCTTCAGCGGGGGTGTTGCTCACACCGTCCTATGCGTGTCGGAGGCAGAAGCGGTGGGCATGGAAGCTGACTTGCTGAGTGCCGGAGGTTGCAAGCTGGGCGAGTTGTCATGAGGCAACGAGAGTCGTGCAACACGAGGAGATGTGCATTGGCGTGTACGAGTCCTTCGTGACTTTCCACCCGGACCATGTCAAGCACTTCCTGCACACCGATGATGCTGAGGGCCCGCTCTGAGCATCGTAACGGTTAAGGCTTTGCATGTTCGTACGATAAGACCAGAACCAGGTCAGATTTCGTGCCGGGCATATATCTCACAAAGCAGTGAAATGCTCCACCGCTCGAGCGCCAGGCGAGTACTCCTTGGGAACCTACTCCATGAGCCCGAGATCTTTCCGAGATACGAAGGTTGGAGAGGGCACAGTGGTTCCAACACATATCTTTCGTTCATGACCTGAATGTGCTGTAGTTGAAATCCAGAGTTCGTTCGCATAGCACAAAAGAGGAAGTCTCAAGTGGCCGCAATTGCAAAAGAGGCAAAGCTAACATCAATTGCAGAAGCACGCAGCAAGGGGCTACGGCAAACCCTGCTATCCTGGACCGCCCCAACCCCTGCAGAAGCCCAAACCCTAAAGCCGCCAAAGCCCTGAAGCCTTCAATGCCTGACAAGTCCAAGTTGTGAGAGCGTAAGCTTTCAAGCATGGCAAGTCCTCGAGGACGACTGCCTGGATCAGCTCGAGGCCATGCCATGCCACGACCGAAAAGCGCAGGGATCTCCGCGTTGCGTGGGGGGTCAGTGTAGAGAAGAGACTCGATGGCGCGATGCGATGAACGGCGAATTGATGTTACTGCTATATACCAGTTTTATTTCGCATGCACGCACCCGTAACTCTGTCATGTAGACTGTCGGTGATAGACAGAGAACGAGAGACGTCGTGGGAAACCTTAGAGATACAGTCTGCCTAGCTCTCGGCCTGCGTCAGGATGCAGCGGATCAGTTGCAACAAGGAGGCCTCAACAGTGTGCAGGGTCCAATGTCTAGGTTTGGGGTCTACATGTGTTGGGAGATGTCCAGCTTGTTGGGCCATGTTGCTTTGAGCTGCGAAGTGCACGTGCGTTGGGACTGGTGAAGATATTCATTGGTGAATCTTTGAAACCCTGCCGGGTGTGAGGAATTCGGAGAATGCAACCCTGCCAATCTTCAGTGAAGGGTGGTCCACCCGAAACCGATCAAACACATAACATTTCACAGTACTGTACTCGCAACATACCAGTCGCTAGCAGTACCGTAACTTTTCCACGGGCTTGATCAGCACGCTGCTTTGCTGGGTGAGGTGTTGCTGCCGTGCACCTCCGCACCGTACCACGCGCCGAGGTTCACCGCAAAGTAGAGTCCATTTTTTTTCGCTCTTACTCTTCTGGCAGTCTGTCATCCCCAGAGCACTTTATCACCTCGAGTTTCATCAGCCGAGCGCGCAGGACGCGTTCCGGGGTGTGGAGATTGTGAGGTCAGCCTTGAAACCTCTCGGGGCCCCCTGGGGCGATGAGATGTGCAGCGATGTGCATTAGAGCATGGACCCACGGTCGAGAGCCAAACAGGCGCCTCCCCTCTGGGAGCAGCTGCGCTCCAGGCTTTGGGCTTTGCTTTGGGACTCACGGGGTCCCCACGCTTCCGATTTGCACAGCATCAGAAGTTGCCTGTTCTGTGCACGTGCAGGCAGTAAAAGCGGTAAAGTTACACTACATCCGGACGAGCACGAAAGCAGCATGTGAACGCGGCTACGTGCATGGGCATACCCAGACTATCAATAAAGTCGGTAAAGTCGCCAACTACAGGAGGCGGTTACATGTCACATGTCAATGCCATTGGTGCAAGACAACTTCATCATGCGAAATAGGTTGTATGACGCTCGAGTGGTCATGCCGCCCATCAAGCACACCAAGCCACATCACAAGCTTGAAGAAGAGTTCTACAGTTAGCGACACACGGGATGCATCATATTGCAATCTCATTGCTCGCTAGCTACCACACCCTGACAAAGCAAGCTCTGTAGCGCACAACAGAGCGCGGCTCAATCGACCGAAGTGTGATGAAAAGTAGGCAAAATGCAACCAGAAACACAACCACAGTGCACAGTAATTGGGCGCACACATGCAGTCATGCTACCTGAAAATGTGTGCACATGTATGCGTTCACTCATGCTCTTAGAGTCTGCATGTGCTCAGAGATGTCAGTACCAACAAGTGCTTTCTTTGAGTAATGATACTCGCACATGCAGAGACACATGTCGTTGTTTCATGTTCATTGGGCCATGACGTGTATACTGGTTTTGGGGGTCGTAGTTAATAAATGTCTTCACACATCTGCCTTTCTCATGTGACATGCAATGAGAGTACCTTTCTTATGTACATAATCTTCTGCGCGGACATGCAACCTCTGTCTGCAATGCAAGGTTGCGAATGATTTGTTGCAAGAGCGTGACCACAGCGACTAGTGAAGCAGCAAAAGGGAGACACATGGCTAGACGGCAGTCTCTTTCACGAAATGAGAGCACGGTCTTGTTCCGAAGATCCGCCTCACCATCTGACCATCTCCGAGTTGGGGTTTTTAGGGAGTTTAGGGGCTTTTCGACGCTCGTGGGGTTTTAGGGTTTGTGGCCAGGTTGCTGCGAAGTCCCAGCTTCCAGAGCTCTTTGGAGCGGCACTTTGCTGACACGGTCGACCTCTGTGCAGGCTCCCATGGGGCTTCAGGGTCTACTTGGTTAATCTAAAAGCGCGGGGTCGCAGGGTTCCGAGTACTTCCGTTCTATGGGTCGTGGCCGTGGCTGTCAAGGTTTGTGACTTCTTCTTCCCCGCAGGATTCCAATTTTCCGTATTCAAATCTCAAGGCCGCTGACGCTCGTCTGTTGTGCTTCAGCCTGCTGGTCGTCAAACGCGTCGTCGAAGCTTCGCAGCTTGATTCCAGATATGACGGCCTATCTCCTGCAGCCGTTTGGAGATGCCCAAGAAGATTGCCAGGTGATCGCTACATGCGGCATGCTCCTGAGAGTGCTATCGTTGGGGAGCTTCTCGCACGGATTTTCCTGCAGTTCAGGTTTCATACGCCGGAAGCAGGAGTTAACGCTCAAGCCTCCACCCCCAGCCACGCCCCAGGCATGAGATGCCAGAGAAGGTCTTCTCGGCAGGGAGAGCGCCTTCCCCAGCATGGGCTTTATTTACATCCACCTCTCCATACTGTCTCCAAACTCCGGGAGCATCTTTCGCCAGGGGCTTTCCCGGCGAGAGAGTGCATGAGAGTGAGCGCATGCCGATGATGCAAAACAATGAACAAGTCTCTGGAGATTGTTTGCAAGAGACTTCCTCACTTTGGGCTTCGGTTCGACAAAGCAGAGGTGCGCTAAGGAGACTGAGGTTTCAGGGTAAGTGGGTAAGGTTCAACCGGGCCCCAAGATGGGGACCCTTTCTGTAACATGCCGAGAGATGAGGCAGCTGCACAAGTGGTGAGGGCCGAAGATGTGATCGCATGGGGAGCTGCACAAGTCTCGCCAGGCTTGCGGCGGGCGGGGCGGTGCTGTGCCGTTGCGGCCAGGAGTGGGCTCGCGCGTGAGAGATGTTTGGGACTATCAGGTTGGGAACAGCTGGAAGTCGGGAGTGGGTGTAGTATGAGTCATCACAATCCCAGAACGGTTCAGGAGCTTGCTGACGGTGGTTTTTCACGAATTGTTCCGGTCGAGTGCCTTTGCTTCTGCTTTGCAGGACAGGGACGGCGAAAGCGTTGCGACCTCGGAGAGTGCGTGAGCAGCTGATGCCTTCCTGAGATTGTTTGGGACCTATGGGCCTGCGGGATCCTGCGGGGCTATTTTTGGGTCGACGGTCCAGGCAATTGCCTCAAACTTCAGATTGTATGTAGAGCTGGGGCTGGGACTGGGACGAGATGCCGATTCTGACACTTCCCTGATCTTAAGTCTGAGGGGTAATGGGTTCCGTCCATAATGAAGTGCTTTAAAAGAACTATGATTTTGTTTTGGGCTTGTTGGTGTTTTCAACACTTGCGCCATTGCACAGTCTTGCACGACAACTGTCTCCGGAAGCTAGGCTGTCGATCCCGGAGATCTGATCCGAGCTTATCCTCGTGCCTGGCCTGCATTTCTACTGATATCTACTGATCGTGTGCTGTGATGGTGATGGCGTTGATGATGGTTGCCAGTGTCACCAGCACGACTCCAAACTACGGCTGTTACTGCCATTTCCATTGTGGCTGTTGCCGGCTCCGTCGCTACCCACCGATGGCCATGACCACGAGCACGACGTTCCCAACTACGACGGCCATTTTACATGTACAGGAAGCTGCAGGTTGCGATCTTTATCATTTCTCAGGGTTAGTACCACGTGGTAGTTGTAGTTGCGGTGTTGTTAAAGTCGGTGCTCTTGCTTCTGAGTGTGTTGTGTTGTGTACTTCAGTGATGATGTTACTGAGCATGATGGCAAGAAGTGTTCATGCCATGCTTCAGATAATTTGGAAAACACAATCCGAGAATCGGGCTGTTGTATAGGTATATTTACATAGATCTCTTTTTCTCTCTGCTGTGTGCGTTTGCGTAGTCATTTTTTAGTTGTTCTCGCAGTAGGTCACGGAGTAGTCGTCGTCGCAGTAGTCCGAGTCGTAGTCGTATTAGTCGTCGTCGTCGTTGTCGTCGTCGTCGTAGTCGTGGTGTTGGTGGTGGTGTTGGTGATGGCAGTGGCACTGGCAGTAGCAGCAGCAGTAG